TATTTTATTTTATTTTATTTTATTTTATTTTATTTTATTTTATTTTATTTTATTTTCAGTAATGCATTCATAGTATTAAATAATTAGGTCAATGTTAAGGCATGTAAGTAAGTCTATATGGTATTTAAAAGTACCAGAAATTCCCACCCTGTACAGAGGACTCAAAAGCATTTTAGGTACTCTGCATGTTTTATATAGATATCTACAGATGGATTTAGTTACATAATACTAAATTTCAAGATCAAACATTTTGGAGAAAAATCAAAATTAGAAATATGTGAAATGGACATACGCCAAAATAATAAAAAGTAATGTTGTAAAATATTAAAACATTCAGATTTAACTGTGAGAGTTTCAGGGCTGTTTTTTTGCTGTTGTTGTTTTGTTTTTTAACTACACATTAGTGTACTTTTAGTGATCTCTTCCCTTGTTATAATCTGCATTAGACAAAGGTACTTTATGAGAAGTAATGTTACAATGGAAGATTCATAAAGAAACCAGTTCTCAGAAATGGTTTACAAAGACATTTTCCCTCTCTTTCACTCTTTCCAGATTTTGCATAAGCATCAGCAGTTCACTCAGAGCAAAGACTGTCCTGCTTAAGGAATGAAGGGTATTCAGATCTTCAGGATACAGTAAAGCTGTAGACAGCAAAAGACACTTTCATTTCTTGCAGTTTCATTTTAGTTAGCTTCTTCCTCTATGGGTTGGGACACAGTGTAGGAGCCAAACGTGTTTTGAGTCATCCATCCACCAAAGGGGATTTACTCAAAGCTGCATGTCAGAATCTGTGTGATCAATGTTTCCATACCAGCCCTCCTGGAGAAACCTGGTTTTCCATCACTTCCATCATACCACTTTGGACAGCTTTTCAACATCACTTTTAAGTGGAGCTGATTTGATAAAAAAGAAGCATGTCAGAGGGGAAACCTCAGTGCTGTAAGACCACAGCCGCTTTATTTTAGTAACAGGTGGAAAGCTGTTCTGAAGAGCCTGCAAAATAAATACTTTCTGAACAAAT